GGGGAGACGTCCTGAGATGTACAGACGGTAAGTTACAGCACAGAATCGCTCTGTGGTGCAGACTGCTGTCGAGGTCACCTGTGCTTACAGAAAACAGGGATACATCTCACAGTGTGAATCGGTTCTTCCTTTATTTGGGGATACAGGCAACCTTTGGATGCTTTTCTTTAATAACCTATACATGTTGATAAGGGAGAACCGCACTGGCAAAGCATGGAGTGGAGAACTGGCTTCCAGGAGAGCTTCAAAAATGGGGTGATGTCCACCGCAGGGCTCTGGGGAGTCCAAGGCAGGTGGCAGCTGGCCCTGCCCCCTTCCTCACATAGAATCCAGGCATCTTGGTTGAGCCACCAGGAAGCCCCAAGCTTTCCCGTGTAGCCTCCACTGGACTGGGGGTGAAGGGTCCTCACAAATTCCTGCCCACGGGAAAGCCACAGTCTATGCACATGTGGTCAAGCTAAGATGAGGCGCTGATGGAGGAACGTGAACTTATTGCAGTGAGCAGAGAAGCCTGGAGGGGGGCGGGGAGTCTTGTGGAGACCAAGGCAGGGGCCGGCGCCATCCTGCCGCACAGGTTCTGTGGGGCCTGAGGACAGGGAGGACACGTTCCTGCTGCTGTGGTCCACCAAAACATCCATGCTCTCTGTTCCCCAGTGAGGAAGGGGGTCGCAGCCGGAGCCTGTGGGCCCAGCTCCCTCACCGCCCTGTGCCAGCTGCATCTTAGGGTATCCCCATCAAGTCCAGGTCAGCAGGAGCCTCTCTGCCTCCTCGGTCCCTGTCCTAGCATGTGGTGACCCAGGTGTTCCCTGAGCAAAGCCCCGAGGTGAACTGAGCTTAAGGTGGGACAAAACCAATAATGATACAGGGACCCTCCAAATGACACAGGGAGAAAAAAGATCTCCCAACCTAAAAGGTGCCCGGGATGGAGTTCTTGTTCTCTAAAACCGAAGAACGAATTTTAGGAACAAACGGACGTTATGGGCAGAATATATTTATTGAGGGAAAAAAGCTCCCATCTAAGGGAGGTAGGGGACACCGAGCAGGTTGTCGTGGGAAGCTGTCTCTTCCAGGGACATAGAGGAAAACCATGTGGTGAGGCGGGTCTAAGGTGGTGGAGAAGACGAGGGAACTCGCTTAGGTGGATGTGGGGTGGGACAAGACTATGGTCAACCAATGAGACTACAAGCACCATTGCTCAGGTACAATTGATTAAGTCCAGTACCAAATGGGGAAGCTAGTCACGTCGCAAGCAGGCATGAATACAGGACAGGGTCTCTTCCTGTTGGGGGTTGGGCTAGTGACTCATCTGGGCTCTTTCAAGGTGATCCATACCTATTTAGAGTGTCAACCCCTGATGCCCACCCTAGGGAAGCATATGCCTGTGCTTGTTTCTTCTTTTGTCTTGAGGTGTGGCCCATAGGGGAGCGTCTGTCTCTTCCTAGTTGCAGAGTCACCTTGTCTTCCATCCTGTCTCCTCGAGGGCCTGGCCCTGTCAGACTGCCTATAAGATTTCTATCTAGTTCAGCTGCCTGCAACATTAAGATTCCAGGTATAGTCATTGAGGTAACAGTGATCCAATGGAAAATCAGGGCGAGTGTGAGGTAGGACAACACTATGGTCAAACAATAAGTGCCCCTTAAATATAGTGGCAAGGACGATAGTGATTGAATGGTGAGAAACAACCCGTGGCAAACACTTTTCGGGAAGGGGTGGGCAAGGAGGTTTCGTCCTCCACCGCACGGTGATTGATGTCTACGTAGACTATCAATCACGAGGTCCTGAGTTTGGTACATACACAAAAGTCACAGCCATGCATCCCTCCAGATGTAGTGAGTAGTTCCTCTTTTTCCTGAAGCCTGGTCTTCAGTGAACGCACTCTGGCCCTACTGTCCTCTGCACTGACTCTGGGCCCATCCCTGTCTGACTGCCCACAGTAATTCTAATTTAGCTACTGTAACAGTCTCAGTAACCAATTCGAAGGGCTTGCAGGGACATCGGGCCTCAGCCTTTACAAAACCCCTGCGAGGTCACCTAGATGTCTCCTATTGTTGCAGGCAGCCAAATTAGCTAGAAATATTACAGGCAGTTAGAGTCAGGCCCTCGAGGAGACAAGATGAAGACAAGGTGACTTTACAACTGGGAAGAGACAGACGCTCCCGTATGGGCCAGAGCTCAAGACCAAGACAAAAGAGGGAGCACGGCTACACACTTCCCTAGGGATGGGCATCAGGGATTGATATTCTGAACAGGTATCAGTCACCTTGAAAGAGCCCAAGTGAGTCACTAGCCCAACCCCCAACAGGAAGAGCCCCTGTCCAGTATTCATGCCCGCTTGCGACGTGACTGGCTTCCCCATTTGGTACTGGATTTAATCAATTTTACCTGAGCAATGGTGCTTGTAGTCTCATTGGCTGACCAGAGTTTTGTCCCCCCTAAGTGAGTTCCCATGTCTTCTCCACCTCCTTAGACTCACCTCACCACATGATTTTCCTTTATAAAAGTTCCTGGAAGAGACAACTTCCTGGGGGACAACCCACTTGGGGGCCCCCCTCCTGTCCCTCTCTTGGACAGGAGCTTCCTTTCTCTCAATAAATATATTCTGCTCATAACCCCCGTTTGTTCCTAAAATTCATTCTTTGGTTTTAGAGAACAGGGACTCGTGCAGGTCAGGTCGGGAGACCATTTTCCCTGTGTCGTTTGGAGGTTGCCCGTCTGAAATCAGTTTTCCTCCCTGTATCACTGTCATTGTCCTGACACTGCAGTCACTGCAGACCCAGGAAGCCCCGCAGACCACAGAGCAGTTCTCAGGATGAGGCGGTGGTGGTGCCTCAGCACCTGCTCAGACATGGCAGCAGGACATGGCCATGGGGCAGACCCCAGCCCCTGCCTCTGTTCCCCATTTCTCTGAAACCCCGAGGCCCTCTCAGCCCCTTGCAGACAGACTGTGAGCCTTTTTATCTGGGCCTCCCAGCACAGCCCCGCTCACTAATGGTCCTGCCCTCTCCACGGCTCTTTTCCTGGGCTGGCATCTTCCCCATGAGCTCTGCCTTAAAACTCCAGGAGGGTCATGCACACAAAGCCAGTCCTGACAACTCATGGAGACCTTCTCTCAAAAAGTAAGGTGGCTTTCCGGATTTGACTGAAGAGGAGTCGCCATCATGGGAGTTGACATCCATCACAACAAGGACTGAAAGGTCCGGCGCAAGGAGCCCAAGAACCAGGACATCTACCTGAGGCTGTTGGTTAAGCTGTACAGGTTTCTGCCCCCGTGGACAAATTCCACCTTCAACCAGGTTGTGCTGAAGAGGTTGTTCATGAGTCACACCAACCGGCCACTGCTGTCCCTTTCCTGGATGATATGGAAGATGAAGCTTCCCGGCCGGGAAAATAAGACAGCGGTGGTTGCGGGGACTGTCACAGATGATGTGCGTGTTCTGGAGGTGCCCAAGCTGAAGGTTTGTGCTCTGCATGTGACCAGTCAGGCCCGCAGCCGCATCCTCAAGGCTGGGGGTAAGATCCTCACCTTTGACCAGCTGGCCCTGGACTCCCCCGAGGGCCGTGGCATGGTCCTGCTCTCTGGTCCGCGCAAGGGCCGAGAGGTATACCGGCATTTCGGCAAGGCGCCAGGAACCCCGCACAGCCGCACCAAACCCTACGTCCGCTCCAAGGGCCGGAAGTTTGAGCATGCCGGAGGCCGACGGGCCAGCCGAGGCTACAAAAATTAATGCAGAAATGTACTGTTAATAAAAAGATTTTAGATTCTAAAAACAAAAAGTAAGGTGGACTGGAAAATAGCTCGACAGTATAAGAGCCTGCCTGCTTGGCAGGCAAGGACTGGGATTCAATCCCCGGTACCGCATACTGTGCTGGCCACCAAAACCAGGTGTGGTGGGACACGCCTGTAATCCCAGGCTGGGGAGGCTGAGACAGGAGGATCACTGAGTCCACCCTGTATAGTGAGACCCTGTGCCAGATACATGATTGAAAACAACTTTTTAAAAGATGGCAGGGGTGTGAATGTGTGACAGAGAGGTTTCCTGGCCACAGGTTCCATCCCCAAAGTGGAAACACAAATTGACCTCAGCTGTGATTCTGGGCAGGGATCATGTCCTTTCCTGCCTGGAAGCATTGGAAAGGGGGCCAAGGAGGCCGGAGGGGGTGCGGCTGGCAGACAGAGGTTGGGGCAGGGAGGTAGGCGGTGACAGTGCCCCGCTGAACTTGCTAAGGGCAGTGCCTCCACACGTACAGGGCCCCAGGCAGGCAGGTGTGGGTGACTCACAGTGGCGAAGGTGTCTCCGTCTAGCACCCACCCTGGCCAGAGAAACGGCAGTGGCTTTCCTTCCTGTTGGCGCTGGCAGCACAGCACCCAGCCTCAAGTCGGGCAGCCGTGGATGTGGGGTACACTGCTCTTCCTCGGGAGGGCGAGAGGGCCAGACGCATGACACTCACAGGCCCTTGGTTCCCTATGGTCCCTATCTTGTTAAATGAATGCTCCACAAGCTGCCTGGGGTACATCGAGGACCACAGGACCTAGTGATGTCTGCACACAGGTATTGGGGTGACACCTGGTTGAGAACCTGGATAGGCCGGAACATTTGTGCCTGGAACCTGCCACCAGGGCACTACACCTTGGGGACACAATGGGGTGACGGACACATCTCACTGGGGATGATGTTAACTGCCGGACGCAGTTCCTGTCTGGCTGCCGAGAGGCTGGACCTCTCTCCACTGTGACCCCGACAGACTCTGAGCAGTAAGGTGAGTGCGTGGCCCGGTAAGGAGAGGGCAGGTGCAGAGGTCAGATCAGAGGTGCTGGGGTCGCCGTGCTGCCGTGTAGAGCGGACTTGGTTCAGCAGCTCGGTAGGTACCACTTGGATAGCACATGCAGGGCTGCGGGCTGCAGAGAGGGATAGGAGACGGAGGAAGGGGAAAGGGTGCTCAGGACAGGACAGAAGAAGCCCAGACACCGTACGTGCAACTCGGTCCTTCCCTGGGCCTTGGAGCTGGAGGTTTGCAGCCAGGCGGTGACCCGGCCACAGCAAAAGGAGGCTAAGTCCTGCCTGTGCCTGGTGAGCTGTGGGTGGGGCTGGCTGTCCTGGCCCCGGGAGCTTTGGGGCTGGGGCTGTGTGAGCCCTTCTAGGTGGTGTTTGTAAGGGCCCCTTCACTTCCTGGAGTGGGTATGTGTGTGGAGTCTGTTTTTCCCTCTGGGTTTTGTACTTAAAATGTCCTGCTAGTGAATGTAACATGCCCCTGTTACTTAAAAGTGTAATTTTAAAACAACCTGGAAGCCACAGATGTGTGTTGGGCACACAGCCTGAGCTGCAGGAGGAGTGGGCCGAGTCTAGCTGGCCCAGACAGAGTGCCAGGGTGCAGCCTCTTGGGAGGTTGGAAAAGGGGGGGGTGGGTAAAGCAAAGCAGGGGAGGGTGGCCACCCCAGTCTGCCCATGAGGATGCCCACTGCCCTCCCCGCGTTCTGTCTGTACCTGGAAGCAGCCAAGGACAGCGTGTCCTTGTGGCCTGGCTGGGGAATCTGCCAAGAGGCTCTTGCCCCTGGAGCACTCAGGGACACTGGGTCCCATGACCACCCAACCTGGAGGGTCTCGCGCCTCATCGAGGCTCTGCGCAGCAATACCGGGCACCTCTGCCCAGGTAAAGCCGAGGCCAGGAGTGTGCAGCTGCTGGCCTGGAGGGACTTTGTGACCTGTGCAGGGCGGAGAGGACTCGCAGTGCCTCTTCCCTCCACTCCACGCCCTGCCCTGGTTCCTCGACCTTCAGCCCAGAGGCTGACCTCCCCATGGACTCCCCTGCCTGGAGCCGTACCTCCCCGGATCTGGGCTGTGTTCTGACATCTGCAGACACTGTATACTCAGGGCTGTCAGGCAGGAACTCCTCCAGCCTTCAGGGCTCCCTACTGCCAGGGAAAGCGGAGTCTCCTGCCCTGCTGCCCAGCACCCCAGCTCAGCTGCCCTGAATCTTGCAATGATCCCACTGCGGTGCTGCTGGCTGGCTGCTCGGCTCCACCCCACCCAGCCCTTGGGGAGGCCCAGGTCTCTAGGGCCAGAGACCTGGATGCCTATCCTGAGCTCGCCCCGTCACCACTTATATCTTCAAAGTCTCCATAAACCTTTCAACCAGCAGGTTGTGTCATCATTTCATTTTTTTTTCACTTCTATCATTTCAAGAAACAAGTACTGTGAGGAATACCTTGTATATCCACCATTTAAAGCAAAAATTCCTCCTCTCTTTTTGTGCGGGGGATTGAACTCTGCCCCTGCACTAAGCTGTACATAAAAGGCATTCAAGTGGTGAACTTCCTTGGACACCAGTGGACCTCGCACTGTGCGAGGTGAGCAGATGGCGGAGTAGCTCCCGTGTCTGCCCGATGCTGTGTCACAGCGGTGCCATGTGCTCGCTGTGCCGTGCCGTAGCACCCGGCGGTGCTGCACTCAGAGCCCAGGATGCTGGGAGCCCGCGGAAGAGCGGTGCAGGTGTGGAGAGGAAGCTAGGAAGGCAAAGCAGTGACTGTGGAAACGAAAGTGAGAATGTCGGAGAGACTGGACCAAGGCCAAAAGATGCAGGCGCAGCTCGCTCGTTCTTATCACAGAATCATCCCACTGTTGGCACCGCTTGAAAGAGCACCCGAGCTCGTGGGACACACAAGGTTTTTTATGCTTTACATTGTGTCGAAGGTGTATATGACTCACTTCGTCAGATTTACAAATGTTCGCTGTTCTCCCAGAATGGAACTTGTCCCTAAGTCTGTGTTCCCAGCCTGTTTCTATTTTTTAGACAGGGTGTTACAAGGTGTGGTGGTATATGCCTGTCATCCCAGCACTCAAGGAGGCTGAGGATTGTAAATTTAAGTCCAGCCTGCATAGATTAGCAATTTAGTAAGACCCTGTCTCCAAAAAAAAAGGACTGGGGACAAAGCTCAGCGTACATGCCCTGGATGCAGTCCCTAGGGCCAATAAACAAATGCCCAGACAGGGTCTCACTAAGATGCTGAGTTGCGCTGGCTTGGCTCACACTTGTGACCTTCCTGTCTCAGCCTCCCGGAGTGCTGGGATGACAGGCGTGAGCCAGGTACACCATGCCTGCCTTGTCTTTTGGTTTTGTTTTGGGATTTAAAAAAAATTAATGGTGGATTTGAAGTAGCTCAATTTTTCAAAAAATAAATGTCACTATCTTTTTAGTTACAAAATGTTGGAAAAAATGAGGAGCTCTAAAAAGATAAAAATTGCCCATAATTCCTACTACCTGGTGAACACTGGGTGCTTATCCTCCACATCTTATTCTTTAGCTAAGACATTTTCCCCCACTGGCAGCTATGCGCTGAGCCCTGGCCACCAGCATGTTCTGTCTGGTGCGTGGCTGGGCCGTGGGGCTTAGGCCTCTTGGTTCCAGGGCTAAATCACGCTGTGTGAGCACCCTGCTGGATCTGGGGTCTCCGACACAAGGGCCTCACCCACCTCCAAGCTCTCTGGTACTAGGGAGTCAACAGTGAGGAGTCCTGAGTGCTGAGCTGAGCCTCTCCCTGATCTTCCCAGGCTGGGGCTGGGGGACAGTGCCTATGGGTGACCCTGAGCACCTCCTAGGCGCTGGCCTGAGGATCAGCACTGGACCACGGGGCAGCACTGGGCGCCTGACAGCTACAGACCTGCGGCCTGGAGTGGGATGTGGGGCCAGGAGGAGACTGGTGTTATTTCTGGGGCTAAGTGTGGCATGACACATAGCAGGGTCCTGTGGGGTGGAGTGGAAAGGGTTCAGAGCTGTGCCCAGCTGATGTTGCCTGCCTGCCTGGGTGCCCTGCCCCTCCACACTCCAGAAAACCCTCCCCTCACACCCTGCTCCAGGGCATCTCCTGGGCTCTCCACAGAGGGAATCTGGCAGCTGAACCCAAACATCGCTTGGCCAGGCTCCGGTCTCCTGTGTCCAGACTCTGGTCGCAGGCACCGGTCCTCCTGTACTTGTGGTTTCTGCCTCCACCAGGTAGGAAGGAGGGACAAAAAGGAGCCTACACCCTGCCCTGTGCCTTCCGTATGCCCGCTGCCTTCCTGGGCAGCACCCCTCACGCCCTCGCCTGTTGCCTCCCTGTGTTCTCGGTTTCTGCAGAAGCGGAAATCCAGGCTGTGGGTAGACCAGGCCGGTGGCAGGGCAGCCGCTCAGGTGCAGCAACACGAGCTGGGCAGAAGCCAGCAGGGGCTCCCCCAGCCCTGGCCAGAGGCTCCGAACCCCCCCCCCCCCCCCCGTGTGAGCTGCTGGAGGAGAAAGCAGCAGTGGCCGCAAGGGGATGGAGCCACAGAAGCCAGGGCCGCGGGGCTCAAGGCTGAGCGCACTGCAGTTCCCGCCGCTCTTCTGGGGAGTGTGTCTTGCTAAGTGATTACACTTGATCTCAGCCAAAAGGCTGAGAGGCGGTTCTAGGTAATTAGGAAGTGTGGCGCATCATCTGCTTTCGGAGTGGAAAGCACACACTTGCGATTTCCCAGTGAGTCACCAGGACAGAGATTGTCGGGTGCGCAGGACATGGGAGAGCGGAGCCCAGCCAGAACCGGCTCAGTGACCGGGCAAGGCACGCAGCTTCTACCCACAGAACGCTGACTGCATGCAGCCTGGGAGTGCGGCATCTGGGTCCCAGGGCTGGGCCGGGCGCCCCACGGGGCCAATCCGTCTGCCCGCTGTGGGCACTGTGTGATGCCATTTCTCTGCACTGACTCCTGCTAGCGCAAGCTTGGGCCTGCAGGGGGAGGCATGGCCCAGCGGGAAGGCACTGCCGGGCCACGGGATGCAGGAGCGGGGTGTAAAGTAGGACGAGCAGCCGCCTTGTCAGCAGCACGGTTGGTGAAGATGCTCCAAGATGAAAACATGAAGTGAGTTAAATGTTACTACCACTGTCCGCAGAGCACCCCTTACGTCCTGCTGGGCCCACGGCCAGGGTCACAAGTTACTCTGGGCAGGGCGGTAGAGGCCCGTGGGGCTCCCCAGGAGGGCGCCGACCCCTCCCACTGTGAGGCCAAGGTGGGAGGGGTTGGCAAGGGACTGAAGTCAGCGCCCGGAAGAGGCGTGCGCAGCTGGTGTGGGGCCCAGGGTGACATGTGCTGCCCCGCGTGGTCAGCTGCTCTCGGTGCAGAGCTGGACAGGTGTCCAGCTGGGGCGGCGCTCAGAACTGCTGGGTGGGCTGGGAATGACGCCGTTGGAGCTGGAGTAGGAGTCCCAGCCCCGCTCCTGGCGAGGGCCTTTGCTGGCTGCTCTGATCAGTGTCGTGGTCTTGTGTGGGGCAGGGGAGAGCTTTCTACCTGACACAGCAGCTGCCCCCACTAGGACCTGCCTCACATGGAGCCCTTGCTGGGCCTGCACGGAGCTGTGGCTTCCATTCCAGCACGGAAAATACAACTGATTACATTTTAAACAGTAATAAAACTCAGCTGTGCCACGGGTTCTGCAAGAACTGGCACCCTCTGCGCACGGTGGTGGCAGTAGTGGCTCCAGGTGTGGCCCGCAGGTCCAGGGTCCACACAGTGCCCAACGTGCCCACACCTGTGACCGAGTGGTCCTGGCTCGGGTTTCCAAACCACACTGAAGACTCACTCTCCAGGCGCTGAAGTTGCTTTGCTTGCCTTGGTCCAGCTGAGTGCGTTTCACTGTCTCAGGGCCTTGGATGCTTTTGAAAACTTTAATCCAGAGGTGAAATGAGGAGCCCAGCCATGGGCCACAGGGCTCCTGGGCGCAGAGCTTACTCCAGTGGGGCCCACGTGCCAGGGGCCTGCAGGGAGCTTCAGCTCTGATGGGGCCGCTGGCAGCACTAACGTACTGTCCGTCCTCCACAGCTGCACGGGGCACTCCAGGAGGATGCTTGTCGGGGCCATGCTGCCCCGTGTGGCCCTGCCCTTCTGGCGCCTGGTCTATACCGCAACCTCCTGCCGTCCAGCACCTGGGAGGCACCAAGGACGCTGCCTCCTGCACACGGCCCCTGCTGCCCACTCAGGAGGGACCGCCCCTGTCTTTGCCAAGGCCCTGGCCTTTGGGGACAGGATCGCCCTCATTGACCAGCACGGCTGCCACACCTACAGGGACCTGTACCTCCACAGCCTGCGCCTGTCCCAGGAGGTCTGCAGGCTCTGCCCCTGCAAGGACGGAGACTTGCAGGGAGAGAGGATCTCCTTCCTGTGTTCCAACGACGTCTCCTACGTCATCGCCCAGTGGGCCTCGTGGATGAGTGGTGGCATCGCGGTCCCCCTCTTTCGGAAGCACCCTGCGGCGCAGCTGGAGTACTTCATCCAGGACTCCCGGAGCTCCGTTGTGCTGGCCGGGCCGGAGTACATGCAGCTGGTGGGCCCAGTCGCCGAGAGGCTGGGGGTGCCGCTCCTGCCCCTTCCTCCCATGGTCTACCACGGGGCTGTGGAGGAGCCGGCGGCGGCGGCGCCAGTGCCGGAGCACAACTGGCAAGACCGGGGTGCCATGATCTTCTACACCAGCGGGACCACGGGGCGGCCCAAGGGAGTGCTGATCACCCACCGCAGCCTCATAGCCATGGTGAGTGTGGCCCCATCGGGCAGGGACAGGGCCCCCCGGCCTGTGCCTTTCCTTTTCTGTAGTGTCACCACCCTGCAGACTGCTGGAGTACTTGCGGGCGGAGGATCACGGGGGTAGAATGGCCCCTGTGTGCTGTGCCCTGGGGGGGGGTCTCAGAGACTGGCCATTTGGGACATTGACTGGAGCCAGGCCTGGGGGTTGAGCTTTGTTGTGCGCCATCTCCCGGTCTTGGCACGGTTTCTGTGCTCTGTGGTCCGGTGCTCATCAGGGCAGAGCTGTTTGCCCACTGAGCTTCCGCAGGCCAGCTGCACCTCCCTCCTCTGTGCCCGCACTGTCCTCAAGCTGTGCCACATCCCTGCAGGTGACTGGGCTGGTTCACGCATGGGCGTGGACGAGCGATGACGTGATCCTCCATGTCCTTCCACTGCACCATGTGCATGGCGTGGTCAACAAGCTGCTGTGCCCGCTCTGGGTGGGCGCCACCTGCGTGATGCTGCCCGAGTTCAGTGCCCAGCAGGTGAGCCGGGTGGGGCAACACCGGGGGCCCAGGGCAGGGAACCACTGGGGCAGACCTGGGTGGAGCAGCAGCTACCTCCCCGGGTCCAAAGCCTGGTATAGTGTGCTGGAGCTGGTGTCAGTATGAGGTGGGCCTGTGGCACAGGCTCCGAGGGTTTCGCCTGGCCAAGCTTGGCTCTAACACTGCCTGCTTTCACCAGCGCCTGAACTGCCTTGGTGGTGGCCCGACTGCTCCAATGTTGGCTGCCCTCTGCTCTCCTACAAGGTGCCTGCCAGGGGCCTGGGATCCTCTCCTCTCTCCACTCCTGCAGCACCCCTTGCCCCTCATGGGTGGCAGCCTTGGGGTACAGGGAAGAGGACATGGACGCTGGTCCTTGTCAGCAGCCAGCCTGCCCTCTGTCCCTGGGGTGGACAGTCCAGCTGGGGGCATGCCTCAGTCTCACCACTTGTCCCTTCCAGCATTTTGCCCCTGCCCCAGGCTGCTGTGGGCATAGGACCAGTGCTGGTGACTCCTGGGAACAGGGCAGGAGGAGGTGCATCCCCGAGCCATGTGTTGCGTGGCTTGCGAAGTGCGGGGTCAGGCATGGGCCTGCTCTGGACTGGAAGGCTACACTGTGTCCAGATGTAGCCCTGGATATGGTGACAGGGCATGTGACCTTGCAGGACCTATAGCCTTCCTGTCAGTAGGGGTGACTGATGTCGCAGACTGTTGTGGCTGCCCCTTCAGCCTGGATGCTCTGTGGCTGCCTGTCTGTCTGGTCAATGCCAAGTGCATGTGGACAATGCTCACAGTCTGATCAGGCAGGGGGAGGTGACGCTGAGCTGGCCATGACAAACATGTCTGGCAAGGGCCCCAGGAGGCAAATGCAGGTGGGACTGCAGTTGGGTGTGGGGTGTAGCGATGGTGGGGCAAAGGGGACTGGGCCTGGAGGGCAGGAAGGTGCCTGCGGTGAGTGTGGGTCAATTGCTGGGGCACAGCCTCCATGGCTCCTAGGTCCCCAGGGGGCTCCTTTCTGGGAAAGTTGGCCTACACCCCCACCCCAGGCACCCGACCCTACTCTGGAACAAGGTCAGGCTCCAGGTCTGCCCCAGTCCTCTCAGGAGAGCCTTCTGTGGTCATTTGGGCAGCAATCCCAGGTGTTGTCTGGACAGGATGGAATGGGGGGCTCCCGTGCCTGCCGAGAAAGCCCGTACGATTCCCAGAGCTCCCCTAGGCCCAGCTCCTCCACCTGCCTGTCCCTGTGCCTGCTGCGAGCTGGGAGCTGCTGGGTGGGGTCCCAGCCAGCCTGCATGTGGGGCCCCTTGTCCTTGGAGGGAGCCAGGCCTCAGCCTTCCACCACTCTTGACCCTTCACTAGGGTTTTCTTGAAGTTGTACAATCAGCTGATAAGAAGACACACCCACACTGTGGTTGAAAACAATCGGCAGTGTCTTCTGCAACTTGTGAGTTTAGGGTTTTGCAAATTTATAAGCACATGTCAGCGGCATCCTGCTTTCCTCAGTGCCAGCTCTTAGGGTTTGCTCTGAGGCTGTGTGTGCAGGCCTGAGGAAAGTGGCAGGCCATGGTGGTGTTTCTGTGTCCCTGCTGCCCGAGACCCCTGGGCTGTCCGTGTCTGCAGTGGTAGAGTGTGGGGTGGGTGTGCCTGTATGCCCACAGCGCTGTCACCCCAGAGCAGATCTGGTTTTTGCTTAGAAGCCTCGTGATTTGAGTGTGTATGCCTAGGGCTCCAGTCCTCTCTAACGTGGTTTAGGTGTGGTGTGAGCAGGGCCTGAAGCCCAGCTAACCCGCTGTCCTGTGGCCGGCGCCTTAGGCTGGGCAGGTCCTCCTTGCCCCACCGGTCACTTTGCACCAGCTGGCCCAGGCCTGTCCTCGTCAGGATATGCTGCTCTGCACCCTGGGCCTGGCGTCCTGAGCAGGGCCACAAGTGCTGGCAGCTGCTGCTGGTGTGAGTCTGGAGTTGGACCTGTGTTCTCCACTCTGACTCCCTTTGCACACCTCCTTCGGCTGCTCTGGGTCCTGTGCCTGTCAGTGTACTGCCAGTTTCAGCCCAGTGAAGCTTGCTGGGGATTTTGTTGAAGTCATAGCTGGTCACCCTCCGGGCCGTTGCATTTCCTGGTGTCACACAAATCCACGCGTGTGGGTTCTTTGCCCCTCTCTGTGTCGGTTGCTGTCCTGGTTCAGGCTGTGGACCCAGAGTTTCATGATGGCTTTTCCCGAGATGCCGCAGTTCCTCCGGGCCGCCTTCTTCTGCTGCTCACCTTGGCGCTGAGCTCCCTCACTCAGCCCTGTTCCCGAGCACCCTCGTCCTGTCATCCTGGCTTCTGCACTGGCCAAGGCTCTGCTCATTGCTCTGCTGACTCGTGTGCTTGGGGTTAGGCACGGGGAATGTAGTCGTGTCCCAGAGCCACTTTCTTTCCCTTGGGTGTAGGAGATCTGAGTCACTCTAGGCCAGTCTGGCGAGAAGACACAGGCGTGGCCCGCCTGGGCTTCAGTGCCTGGTGGGCGATGCCTGCCCTGGGATTGCGTGGCAAAACTAGCCAGCGCATGATCTAAGCGTCTTTGTAGAAAGCAGAGGTGGTAGTGGGTCATACGTAGCACTCGCCAGAGCTCCCTGCTGACAGAAGCCCATGCGGGCTCGGCTTGCAGTGGCCCCGGGGCTGCTGCCTGGCTCCCCAAGTGTGGTCGCCAGGCCTTCCCTGTGGAGCTGGGGGACACCCCAGGCCACCCTGCTCCAGCTGAAGATGGAAGCCTGGTCCCCACTCTACTCATCAAGCTGTCCCTCCTCCAGAGCTGGACACAAGTGTCCCCTCACAGAGTGGCCTCCTGCCTGCACCCCCCGACCCACCTTGGGGCAGGCTGTGCAGAGCAGCGCTGGGCCTCGCACCCCTCCGTGTGCGTCCCTCTCCATCTGCTGTCTCCGCTCCTTATACGGCTCCCTTCCCTGTCCCAAGGTTTGGGAAAAGTTCCTCAGTTCTGAAACTCCACGGGTCAATGTGTTTATGGCAGTGCCCACCATTTACTCCAAGTTGCTGGATTACCACGACCAACACTTCACCCAGCCTCATGTCCAGGATTTCGTGCGTGCAGTTTGTGAAGAAAGAATCAGGTAACTGGGTCGAGCCGTCCCTGCCACGCCCAAAGCCCAGCTTGGCGAGTTGGCGAGGCCACCGTCCTCATCTGTACCACCCTGTAGTGTGGCTGCTGGCCCGTGTGTGGCGTGCCCTTGAGTCCCGTCCTTCTCTCTACCTGCATCTCTACCCTGTTCCTGGCCTCTGCCCCCTGCCCTGTGCTGTGTCACGCAGAGGACAGATATGAGGACCCCGGCTCTCTTCCTGGGCTATGGCTGCACCAGCCTCCTTGCCTGGACCACCAGCCACGGCCCTGGGTGGCTGCCTGCCTCCATTCGCGCTGTCTATGGGTCCCTTGTGGTGTGGGGCTGCTCTGAGCCCGTGTGCTGGAGATTCGGCTTCGACTCCAAGGTGCAGATGCCCATAGGAAGTGTGCTGGGAGTGTTTCAGAGCCCCTGTAGAGGGGACGCTGCCTGGGGTGGCATGGCAATTGGACTTAAAACGCCAAGTGCTCTCTGGGTGCGGTGGCATGCACCTGCAGCCCTGCTGGTCAGGAAGCTGAGGCAGGAGGATCAAAAGCTCGAGGCCAGCCTGGGCAACTTAATATTTAGTCTCAAAACATGATTGAAAAGAGACTGGGAACATGGCAGTAGAGCACTTGCCTGAGTGCACGAGGCCCTGGGTTCCATCGCCAGGACCAAAAAGCCCGGGTAAAATTGCAGGTGTGAATCAGTCAGTGTGTCCCTGGCCGTGGGCTCGCCCTTGTCGGGTGAGGTCTGGGGAGCGGCAGCGGCACCCCTGGCCTGCACGTCACTCCTGTGAAGACGTTTGAGGAGCCAGAGACCTCGTCCCTGGGGGCAGCTGTGGGATTCTCGCGCCACCTTCCACAGTGCCTGTGACACAGGGCCAGGGCACCAGCACCACACCAGGCTTGCTGGGTCCGTGGGTGACACAGTGGGGTGCTGTCTGAGTCACAGGCCTGCTCTCCCTGGTCCCCACTGCCACCATTGCCCTGTTGCAGCTGTTTAGGACATAGCATACTTTGGTGGCAAAGATGCCACCAAAGACCCTAAGCTCCTGTTTTGTCCTAACCTGTTTGCATTCTGAAATACACCAAGTTCTCTGTAAGAGCAGAGCTGCTGTTGCCCAAGCTGTTTTCATCATGAGTTCAGAGGTGTGATGTCCAGCACCGTGGCAAGCTGTGCTCAAGGCTGAACTGTCCCTGTCCCCAGGCTCATGGTATCCGGCTCAGCCGCCCTGCCTGCCCCCCTGCTGGAGAGGTGGAAGAGCGCCACAGGCCACACGCTGCTGGAGCGCTACGGCATGACCGAGATCGGCATGGCCCTGTCCAGCCCCCTGGCTGGGCCTCGTCTGCCAGGTAGGTGAGGCCCATGCTGCCTCCTCCCCACTGTCCCTGAGCTCATCCAAGCCCTGTGTGCCATGTCAGGCACCACCAGCTGCCTCCCCTCCCTTGTGCAGGCCAGGAGGGGGCAGAGAGACGGAAGGGCTCTTCCAGGGGACACAGAGATGCGGGCAGTGTTCTGTGGACCAAGAGCCCTGCCCCTGCCCTCCCAGGGCCAGGCCCTCCACCTGTGTGGCACCATGTTCTGAGCCCTTCACCCGGAGGTGCACCTTTGCCTGTGTCATGAGCTCGTCCCCTTCTGTCCCAGGGTGTCTGTGCAGCACTATTCTGAGCCTGGCCCCCACCTAAAGCACATCCAGCTTCTTTCTAAGGGCCATTGCTCACAGGTGGCTGTGCTGTGCACACGGATGCAGATTTTCTGGGTGTGCACAGGTTTATTCTCAGGTGCATACCTGGCCTGGGGTGTTGCCAGGTGTTGGAACCTGCCCTGCTGGGGGCAACTTGCATGCCACTGCAGGGACAGACATGCTCCCCCCTGTCCCTGAGAGGCTGCCACCTCTGGCTGTGCATGTGGAGGGTGTCTGTGTGACTCAGGTCCCGCTGGTGGCTGGCAGTGTGTGGTGTCATCCTGGCTGCTGTCTGCCTTCCTCGTGGCTTTGCGCTCAGCTGGATGGGCCCTGCCTGTCCAAGGAAGCTCTCTGGCTTCTGGTTGCTTTATCTTTCTCTGTGTGTCAACATAATGTGGTGGTCCCTGTCCAGGTGATGAGGGCCAGATGGAAGTCATGGGCTGGGGGAGGGTGGCAGGGGCTCAGGCTTCCACAACCTCCTGCTGACCAAGATGTGGGATCCAGAGATGTTCGAGTGTGCAGCAGGCTGTGTTTTGGAGCCAGTGTGGCCTTTGCTAAACCAAGGTGGTTTGGGAAAAGCAAGCAGAGAGCCCTGCTTGAGGGCGGTGCGGGGCGGGAGAGCCCTGAGCTGCTCCTTACTCAGCCTGACCTGCTGGCTGGACCGGCTTGTCCCCTCTTGTCCCCTCAGCGGCAAACAGTGCAGACCCCGTCTCTGCCCTGCTCCAGCCGAGCATCCTTCCTGGCTGGCAGCTTCTTCACCATGAATCTCCTGGCCACGATCCCTGTGCAAGTGTGGGGCCCGTGCAGTTTTGTGAGGCATAGTACAGGGAAAAGGTGGGCCCAGCGAGAAGGGGCAACTGCAAGGGTGAGCACTGCGCCCGAGCTCTTGTGCCCTTCAGAGTGGTGATCAAGCTGAGGCTGCACACCCTGGCTGACCACTCTCTAGCTGGGCTGAGACCAGACACACCCAGGGCATCCTCACTGACTTGCCAGATGCTGGGAAGGAGGCCACGCAAAGTTGCCTTGGAAGAGCTGGCTCCCTCCCGCAGGGGGCAGACATTGGGAGTGATGGTGCCACCTTTGTCACCTGCAGCCACTGCCACAGCCTGACAGTGCAGCAATTGGTGCCAGGCACCCTCTCCCTTCTTCCTGTGGGCCTTGTCCGTGTGGCTGCCCTTGCTGGCTGCATCTCAGGACCTTCTTGACCTCCAGGATGGTGAAGCTCAGGAAACCCACAGATCCCCCAGCCATGCATCCTCCTGAGCGCAGTTCCCGGCCTGCTGGGCACAGCTTGGGCGCCCTCTTTGGGAGGTGCTCTGCATGGCCCAGGTGGGATTCAGAAGGGAAGCAGAGAGAGGGAGGATGCCCCGGCAGAGTGGTGGATCCAGTGTCCCCTGTAGGGTTCCCTCAGGAAATGGGGCTTAGTGTCCTCCGTGTTCAGGCAGGCTGCCTTCTGGTGCAGTCCCACAGTGGGGTGCCCCGAGGTACAGGCAGAGGCTCGGCAGGGGCCACCCTCCTCAGGCAGCACCCTCTGTGCTTGCTGTATCCTTTTTTCTTGGCGGAACCAGGGATTGAACTCAAGCCCTTGCACTTGCCAGGGAAGTGCTTATTCCACTGAGCCACCTCCTGGCCCTGCTTGCTGTACCCTTGCTGAGGCTCGCTGTGCCCTTGCACATGCAGTCATTGTAGCGCAGAACTCAGCCCCAGAGGAGCTGCTTCAGGCTGCCCATGAGCACGTCCTGTGGCCAGAACGTGGCGGGCAGCCACCTGTCCACCTCCTGGTCCCTCACTGACAAGCGGGACATGGGAGAAGGAGCTGCAGGACCTGGTGGCCTAGAAGATGGGGAGGGAAGGCACCTCAGCCCACTAGCCCTTGGCCTCTGCAGCAGGATGCTGGCGTGGGGGCCTGGTCCTCTTCCCAGGACAGGCTGCCATGCACAGGCCTTGCTGAGAGTCTGGTGGGAAAGTATTGATTTGCCCTCCTGGAGGTCCCTCGTGGGACCCCGTTGATTTTGGTGGTAAAAATAAAGACCATGGAGCCTCAGAGTGAGCTCTGGGGCCTGGCACGGCCGTGAGGACAGCAGTCTGGTGCTCGTGTATGGATGCCCTGCCAGCCCTGCTCTGCCAGCCCCAATGTCATGTGAACCAGGGTCACTCTAGATCAGCCCGTGCTGGTGTGGGGGGCCACGCAGGATGGTGCTGCACTGGTGCCATCTTGGGCAGGGCAGAATGCGTGGGCTGGGTTCTGCCTCCCCCTTGTGAGCACATGGCGTGGACCCACAGCACAGGGGTTACCCTGGGTGCTGAGCAGACCTGGGTACCTGGTAGGTGAGCACGGTGCCTGAGTGTGGCAGTGGCTGCAGGTGACAAAGGTGGCACCATCACTCCCAATGCCTGCCCCCTGCGGGAGGGAGCCAGCTCTTCCAAGGGAACTTTGCGTGGCCTCCTTCCCAGCATCTGGCAAGTCAATGAGGGTGCCCTGGGTGTGTCTGGTCTCAGCCCAGCTAGAGCGCAGTCAGCCAGGGTGTGCAGACGGAGGGGTCTTGCCTTGAATCTGGACTCCCAGCTCTGTGCCTGGCAGCAGCACCAGTGAGTCCTGCTTTCTTCTGTTCTAGCTCACATCAGCTCCTCCTTGTGCGCCTGCCACTGTGGCTGTGAGCTCTCCAAGGTCCTGGGTCAGCTGTGTGGAAGTGGCAGCATGTGGGGGCACCACTGCTGTCATGGGCAGCTGTCACCCAGGCCCAGTCTGCACACACACCCCTGGGCGGCACACATCCCATGTGGGTCCCTGCATCTCCCTGACACCAAGTCCCAGGGTGGGTTCCTCTCCGGTCCTAACTGCTGCCTTTGGTCCATATCCCTGCTGCAGGTTCTGTGGGGACCCCACTGCCCAAAGTGGAGGTTCGCATCATCTCAGAGAGCCCACAGAGGGACGGCTACCCATACACCGTGCATGCTGAGGGGGACATGCAGGGGACAAAGGTACCACAGATCATGGGGCACTGATGTGCAGCTGAGGGTTTGCAGGATCTCCGGGCCTCACCCATGGACAGGGGACAAATGGACCCATGCTCGAATGCACCCAGCTGCCCCTCGGTGCCTGGCTGGCTCCTCTTCAAGGTAGGGACAGGGGATCATCAAGTCCTGCAGAGAAGCCAGAACCACACCCCTTGAGGGGATGTGGGGGTGACCTGCTGACTGACACGGTCACCGCTCCCCACAGGCACCATGTCCCTTTGCTGTTATTAGGGGTGGACCTATTGCTGGAGCCCTCTGTTGTCCTGCCCTGCTCTGGAGGCAGCAGGGGTGACCACAAGGAGTGACATCATGTTGTTTCACTGGGACTTTAAGAGCTAAGGACTTGTGGTCATCAGGGACCCTAAGCTATAGAGTTTAGGGCTCCCAGAAAACAGCCTTTGGACCCAAAGGGCAGTCACTTCTGCACAGTTGGTGCTGAGCACCCCAGTGAGGAGTCCAGAGATAGAGGGGTCTGGGACCGAGCTGTGGGTGTGGGTGGCGCACAGCGAGCAGGTAGATGGCAGGAGCTTGTGCAGGCTTGGGGACTGCCTGGAAGCAAGTGTCTGCTCCAGGAAGCCTCCTCCTCCTGCAGCTGCCCAGGCCTCCCTGAGCCCTCTTGCCCTGCCCTTGTCCAGGTCCCTGCTCCTCCTTGGGTCTCTGCCTGACCCCAGCCCCAGGAACACCACTTTGGGGCAGCTACACTCGCTGCCCTTGCCCTTGGCCTCAGGTCTGCACTCTCCAGGGTCGGCCTCACCTCCAGGACACTGGTCACTAAGGGGCGCATGCGCTCTGGGTCAGAGAGTGTGTGCCACCCCCACCCTGGAGGCAGCCCCTGGGCTGCCCCACCCTCCCAGTCCTCCTAGTCCTCCCACCAGGCACTGAGAACACCTGCTCCACAGGAAGTGGCAGAAATGTCAGGGAAGACAGGGTGGGTACAGAGCAGCTCTGTCTTAAATTAAAATGAAATTTAACTGCCTGGCACCTGCAGTGGCAAGCTGCCGGCTCCACCTGATGCACCCCTGCCTCAGCACTCTAATCATCCTGTCTGCAGAGAACTCTTCCCGAGACGAGATGTAACATACTTGAAATAGAAAGGAGGTCCCCCACCCTGCACCTGGACAGCTGGGAAGCGCCCCCCAGGCTGGGACACCCGGCAGAACACCATGGGCTGGCCGCCTGCAGAGAGAGCACGCAGAGGCCCTGGGCACCTTCACCCCAGCCGTGCGCCTGCCTCTGAGTCCAGCACGGGTCTGGCAGGCCTGACTACCACACAAGGTAGCCTGAGGCTCCTCCAAGCAGGCAGGCCCCCTGGGGTGCATGGTGACCAAGAAAACAATTTTGAACTTTGCCTCCTGGCCAAACCTGAGCTAAAGGCAGAGTGGCATCTGGCCCTGTGGTGCATCAGGCATTGTCTCTTTGTTTATTTATTTATTTTCAAGTTGTTTGCTTGCAGGAGAGCCCAGCACAGCCAGGGACAATGGGGTCCACTGGCAGATAAGTGGGCATGCAGCTGTGCCTGCTGCCTGCTGCGAGGAGGAGGAGGGCGGCCAGACACGAAGCCTGCTCCTCCTGTGCACGCAGTGGCGGAGGGGGCCGCTGCAGACTTGTTTCTCTCCATTCCCTCGCTTCTTCACATGCGCTCCACAACAGACTGCTCGGCCTCTGCCTCAGGCCCAGCCCCAGCCTCCCTGCTGTCTTCCTAGTCCACATCGTCCCCAGCTATCACTGTGTACGGAGAGCTGGGGACAGCTTCGACATCCCCTCCTCAGCCCGCTCACCTCAGGGGCAGGCCATCAAGGGCTGCGTCCGTCCCCAGGGTGCCTAGTTCCCAGAGGTCACGCTTCTGTCGCAGGAGCTCTGAGTCCTGGCTCTCTCCACGAAGCCGAAAGGTGCCGGTCCCGGCGCTTTCTCCTTCTTCTCAGAGCGTTAGTGAGACAGCTCAGATACGAGACAGTCTGCCCCTGCAAGGACACGGCCAGGAAGCCGCAGAAAAGAAATGAAAGATAAAGGCAGAACCTCGTGGAAAGCTTAAGCCTGAGAAAGGCACTATTGGAGTGAGAATACATGACAATGGGCACTGTGGCAGTGAGTGTTTGAGAGGAAAGACATTGCTGCAGGGTGTCACATGGCCCGGCCGCCCGGCCGCGGTCCCTTGGCGCCTGCCTCGCCAGCCTGTGGGCTCCCTGGTTTGCTCGCTCCCCTCCCCACCACCACGGAGGGTGCTGTGTTCTCTGGCTGGACGGTCTGTTTTTGCTTTCAGCTTTTGCTTCACGTGATTTGAGTCTAACTTGGTACACACGTATTTTTGACTATTGTGTCTTCTTGGTGACTTGGCCTATTGCTACCATGGAATATTGTTTTTTGTTTTTTGTTTTTTAATTTGTGTGTGTGTGTGTGTGTGTGTGTGTGTGTGGCCAGCTCAGCCCACCAGGGGGCGGCCTGGCTGGCATGTGGTGCTGGGGATTGAACGGGGTTGCTGTGCTTTTGCTTAGCTTAGCTTGTTCTAAGAAGGTGCTTTAGACCACTGAGCCATCCCACCAGCCCCTGGAATATTGTTGATCATCCTCATTGCTAGTTTATTTGTCTGATATCATTGAAAGCACTTCATTCTTTCGACTAGTGTTTACATTTTAATGTGATTCTGTCCCATCGCCCCACTCCACCAACATAGTTGGAGTTGAGGTGAGCTTCTTTCAGGCAGCATGTGCGTGGCCTGCGTGCGCCCTGATCCAGGCTGCCCGGTTGTCATTGAATGGGTGGTTTGAACCATGTATGTATACTGGAGCTCTGACATGTTGTGACGTAGTCCTCTGTCATATTGTTTGCTGGTGACCCCTTGGCTCTCTCACTCAGGGCTCCTTCATGGCCTTCTTGGGGTTGTGCTTCAGGGCTCTGTCCTGCCTGGGAAGTAGTTCCTGTGTCTCTGAGTCACCCTGCAGCAGTTGCTCTGGGGAGTGCAGTGCCCGCGCTTGCTCTTCACTGTCTGCTTAGCACACGTAAGTCAGCTCTTCCAGGTGCTGCCGCTCGGGCCCTTCAGTGCCTGTACCACCACCCCTGCACGTGTGGGTGCTGGTAGACAAACCTGGGGCGGCTCCACCCCTCATAAAGGGCACAGAGCATGGAGGGGCACAGCGAGGCCACCTGCTTGCCAGCAGCCGACCTCCGGGTTGCCTTACCTTCAGTGTCAACGTTGGGGCTCCCTCTGGGTCTGCCCGAGCTGCAGGACCTGGCGTCATGGCTACTTGAGGCCAGCTCTGCCTGCAGCACGTCCTCCAAAACACAGCGTCTGACAGACTAAAAGGGCCTGGTTCATCTTTCTCCCAGCAGGATATGTTCACAGGATTTGGAATTCTGGGTCAATAATTACTTTCTTTTTTTTTTTTTTGTGAAGTTTGTCTTCATGACAGGTATTACTTTTTTTTTTTTT